TTCACATGAGTGACGTATTTAGCATTGAGAACCCTGTATAAACTTTGTGCTTGGACTCATACCCTATTCTTCATCCTCAAAAGCAGAGAGCAGACGGGGAGCACCGGCCGACGGTGACCTGGCGCTGCGACAGGGGCGCTTCGGCGGCGAGGTGCAAGTGCGGGGTGGCCCAGGGCGGACGACAGCGGGAAAGGCCACGCGGTGGTGCAGCACGCTCGTGCACGCACGAGGTGCGCCATGGGCGGTGGCGGCGACACCAGCGCGCGGGCACAGGAGGAGCCGCGGTGTTCTAGTGCGAGGTGGCTGGGGAGCGGTTGTAGGAAGGAGAAGCGGCAGGGGCGCCGGCACCAGCGGACATAGCCCAGGCGGGGGCGCTGCGGGACGCGGCACGGCGTCCGGGCCGGCAACAATGGGTGCGTACAAGCAGAGGGCATGGCGCAGTTCGACCGGGTGCTGCAGGACACGCGAGGCTCGGACGTGCGGGAGACCATGCGCCGGCCGAAGGGGCGGCGGTGCAGCGTGACCACGGCAGCACGCATGCGCACGCGAATGGCAAAGGGGGCACGCCGCGCTAGAGGCGAGACGGAGCAGCACAACAACACGACTCCGGAGGGGCAGAGCAGCGGGTCTAGCACGGGACCAAGGACTCGCGCGCGTGTGGTGGCTGAGCGACGACGGCGTAGTCGGGCAGGTGCTCGTGCGAGGCGGAGCTGTGCGCAGTGACTGTGGACTCCAGCGGCAAAAGCAAGCAGAGAGACACAGCACCGAGGGGAGCATGAGAGCGAGGCGTAGATGCCGGACCGGGTCGTGGGGAAAGGAGAGGTAGTGCTCGTGCGCAGTGGCCAGGCGAAGGCTGAAGGCGCAGCACGGCGGGGCACTATGGCCCAGGTGGGTGGAAACGTGCAGACACGACACGCTACATGGGGGAAGAAAAAGAAGGGCAGCGCTGTGGAGCGGGAGCAGCAGCAGCGTTGGAGTTGACCCGCCCTAACCTTGTCTTGGCGTGTCGCGACTGAGCGGCACACGTGCTGGTGCACGGAATAGAGGCAGACAGCAACGGCACGCAAGGCAAGCAACAGAGACAAGCAAGGTAGGCAAGACAAGACCGAGGCAGCAGAGATAGAAAAGGAACGAAGGAAACAACGAGAATGACCAGCCAACTTCATTAACGCCGGATAGCGCGGCGTGCGCCGGCAGCATTGCAGATCGATAGGGCGATGCGAGCAGCAGGCCAGCCATCTTTCTTACATGCAAAAGATAGCGGCCATGGAGCAGCAGCAAGGATGCTCGCACAAGGCGCCGATCGCAGGACACAGTGGCATGGACGGGATGGTGCATAGTTGTAATGCCAGGCGAGTACGCTGCACGCTAGGAAAATAAATGAAACTGCTGCGCTCTCTCTGCGTCAGTTCGTGCTTATCAAAATGAACCCATGAGTATATATATATACATCATTCTATTTATTAATGAATTTTATTTTATTTATGAAAGTTGCTTTTCATTCTTAATCTAACCGAACAAGCCGTTCGCTAGAATCGTCGTTCGACATTCCTAAATATCTTTACGTACTGAGCAATTTGACTTGGCGTTGATTCGAGTCCACACAACTAAATCATACGCGGGATTCGCTTATCGCATCAAGTACATTTTAAATAAAAATTCGAGAAACTCGTTTCAAAAATTTTCTTAGACCTAAATCACGGTGCTAAACAAGCTAGTAACACCAGGGATGTTACACTGGTTGTCCCTGATTGTGCGGCGCTAATTGAACCCATGAAATATGGACCTAAGTTGTACCAAATGTGATCTAAGGCTACCATGGCTGGTAGACCTAGGTTTGTGTTAGGAATACTGTCTAGCTGGTTGCAATCAATTCAAATCGCTGTCTCTCCCGGATAGTGAGAAACTTGATGGAGCTTCTTCATCGTAGTAATTGGATTATGGAATATGATGGTTCTGATGAATATAAAAATCTTACACCGACTATGGTTAGTATTGTTATGCTACTAAATGATATACCACATATTTGGCACATGTTAGTTGCTAATCTAGAGGTGAATAGCTATAGTCAACTTGGTTACCGGATTACAAAATGTATGGCTCAACTAGTGGCTTTTATGTAAAATGTTGTCAATCTAGCTCCACTTATAAAGCCTTGCATGATCTTTTAGAGTCACTTTATTTTTGATTCATGACGAGTAAGTCTAGCTGAGTACCTTCTTGTACTCAGAGTTTATTTCCCACTTGTTGCAGATAACACAGTGTATCATGGATATTGTAAGAACTGCTTCTGTCCTGCCGTGGATGAGGAGTAGGCCCCGAGCAAGGTGCTTCCATTTATATATCTAATCTATGATGCTTTTGTGGGTTGTGATCACAGACTGGCAAGTATTTGAACAATAGTGTGAGATGTTGATTTAAAAACTACTTTGCTTCCGCTACTACTTTATTTGAACTTGATTTGTAATAACTTTAATCACACTCTGATGTATGGAAATGTATTTATGAACTCTATATAACATGTGGCATGTATGTTGAATCATGTACGATCTTGGTTGTATGTTGTTGATGAATCGAGACCCTTCAAAGTACTCGATGGACTACCAGATTTATATGGGCTCAAGTATGATAGTGCGACTGCTTGCGGGCTGCCATGGTACTTGTGCTCTTATAAATTGGACGGTTCTGTCAAACGGGCCACGCAACGACGAGTGGTGACATGCATGGATTTTAAAGCGAAGCAAAAGCTGCTGATTAACTCGACTAAGGTTCAACTAGTTCCACTAACCTAAAGCCAACCATACCAACTATCTAGCAGAGCAATCACCATGACCAGAGAGCAACTAGATAAGTCGCTAAAAGAGTGCCAACATAGACTCATCACTGGAGTACCGGTTCACGAGCAGGACGCTAACGACATGGTTCATAGCGCGTTCCAAAGCAGTTTAGGCAATTTTTAAGAGGGCAACGTAACACCCAACACCACTACGACCTATACCATGCTCAGGGCTCGCTTAGAGGCAATCAACAATGTGAATACATAAAGCTAGTGTTTAAACAATTTAGTTAGGATTTGAATGCCAAAACGGCATTGTTTACTTCCATTCAGTCTTAGAAAGTCAAAAGTTCAGCTTCAACTAAACATCCATTAACATTTTTGCCATAATTTTTAAAATATCTAAACCTTATTAACTTCAACCAACAAGTATTTCATGCAATAGTCCATACTCCATACCAACCTATAGGAACGAAATATTTAAGCACTCTTTAATTATTTTGCTCAATATAATTCGCCAAAAATGTTACTTTAAACATAAATTCAAGTGTTTGCCGACTTAACGAAAAAGGCTTATCTTAATTTCATATTTGATATTTGAGCTCTCAAGAACACTAATTAACAATATTTGTTTTCAAAAATTAAAGTTGTATTTTCAACTACACCACTTGCTCACCATCTCTACATAAGCACTATACACAAGTTATATTTCATTTTTGTTTATAGAAACTGCTTTTCGTGCCAAATAATTAAAACTATGTATTCTATTTTTTCGTTAGGATTTTCATTAGCACTTTTACGCACTAAGTAAATTAACTTGGTTATTTATTTGATTTCTCTCAACCACAAAAGTAAGTCACACAAGATTGTTTATCATTCCATGTGTGTTTTAATTTTTTTCAATCTCGAGAACTTATTTTGCTAATTCCTCTTAGGTCTTAACCTAGGTGCCTAGCAAGCTCGTAGCACAAGGGGTGCTACACTGGCCCACAAACGCGCGGCCACGTGAGCGCGTGGCTCGGCCGAGCGTGGCCACGACGAGCACCAGAACGCGGTGACCGCGCACTCCAGGCTGAGCGACTAGAAACGTGTTGCGCATGAATTTTAAAAGCGAAGCAAAGGCAGCTGATCAACACGATTGGGGTTCAACCAATTCCACTATCCCTAAGCCGATACTAACAGCGACCTAGCAAAGCAATTGTCACGACCAGAGAGCAACCAGAGAGGGGGATAAAAGGATGCCAACATGAGTTCGTCACGTAGAACGCCGGTTCGCGAACGGAGCGCTGGTCTACAACTCGTTTCAACGAAGTTTGGGCAATTTTTGCAACGCCAACGCAAAACCAAACTAGTCCATGAACTACACTATGTCAAGGTACTCGTTATGGTGCAACCAACAGTACAAAAATATGGACCTAGTGTTTAAGAAATCTAATCAGAATTTAAATGCCAAAACAGCATCGTCATTAGGTTTTTAGACATGTCATTTTAGTTCTAGAAGCCGAAATTGAATTCCACATTCAATTATCGAGCTATCAAAAATACTATTGAACAATATCTATTCACCAAAACAAAAGTTGCATTTTCATCTACTAAACTTGTACTTCAAATTTTATTTAAGTACTAAATACAAGTTATATTTTATTTTTGTTTATAAAAATTGTTTTTCATGCTTAATCAAATAGGACAAGCCACTCACTATTTATTTGCTAGAATTGCTATCAGACATTTTAAGTACTTTCTTCATATTTTTCCAAAACAAACCCTAAACAACTTTTGTTTCTAAAATTATTTAAAAGCTTTTAAATACCAAAGAAAAATTGATTAGCAACACTTATTTGATTCTTTTATTTACAAAAGTAAGTCACACCAGGTTCATCTTACCATTTTATGTGAGAATTCATTGTAAAAACCTAGAAAACATATTCACTAGGGTTTATTAGGCCTTAATCTCAATGCTAACTAAGTCCGTAACACCAGGGTGTTACGAAACATCCACAAGAGAAATTTATTATTAAAGTACAGTAATATGCAAGAGATTGAAATGAAAGTTTAATAAACTGGGAAGGAAAACCCAAATCGCAAGGACCATTCTGCTAAAATAAAAGGACAAGTGAAGGAAACCGTGTCCGATAAATAAAAAGTGCTGTCCCTGTTCAGCCCCTTCGACGCCTCCCAATAAAAACGCCACCCCGCCCCCACTCACCGGAGCCCGGCCGCCGGGATGCCTCGAGATTCGCGCCCAGCCGGGATGCGCCTCTTCGGCGTCACCATCGCGCCGGCGCCGGAGGCGGATCCGCCGGAACGGGATCCGAGCCCCAACCCGCCCGTGGCGGCCAGGGAGGACGTGATGCGCAAGTGCAAGAGCATGGGCAACCTCGCCGCTCTTGGCGCTGGCGCGGACGGTGGAGGTGGCGCGGACGGCGGAGGCGCCGGCGACGGGTACCTCTCCGATGGCGGGCTGATGCAGTCGTCCGGGAAGCGGCGGAGGGCGCAGGAGAGGAAGAAAGGTGCCGTCTTTTGCTCCTTGTTTTGCCTTGGAAATCTCTGTTTTGATGCAGAAATGCATAGGAATACGCAAAGATCTGGTGACCAATAGTCCCATTTCTATGGCAGGAATGCTTTTAGTTTGATAGTTTTGTCTTTGGATGTAGAAAGATGCGACATTTCTGGATTTTTTAATGTAGAAATGGTATTTCTATGTATATGTGCATGTTTTATAGGGTTAGCAAAGATAAACAATTGTGTTGTATCTATATGATTGGCCTGCTGGTTGATGTGTTGAATGCATAAAGCATGTTTCTCTGCTACAGTTAGACCTTAGTTTGTATGTGCATCCATTTGTTGTTTTGGCATATTGATTCGTTTAATGTGTAAGCATCCTATGTTTCTTGTTAGTTTGTGACTGTATCTTGTACGTTTATAATAGTGTTTGGGTTGACAGTACACTGGTGATGATTGGGAGATATACAACTTGGATTTCATACATCTAATGATATTGTGTGATGTTGACTAGTTCAGTTACATAAATGATTTATGAACTTGACCTTGTGTCTGTCAAGATGGGAGCTTAGTAAGAGTTAAGACAGTCACCAGACCTGTCTTTGATGTATGTCATGGTGTGTGGCCATATTGAACCCTGCCACTTGTATACTTTTGTTCGCATCACCACAGACATAAGGAAAAGTTTTAATGCTTCTGTTCTAGTGACTTGTGTAATTGGATATTGGATTGATTCTAGTCATCTTGTGCTCAGAAAAGACGGGCTCTTTGTCTTCTATCAGGGAAGTCATGATGTGTGATGCTGAATTCTGCTATTTTCCACTGCTTGGTTGCTCTTGTTCATATACTGTCAACCTGATGGAACAGCTCTAGTTGAAAACTCCTTTTGGCATCACACTGATGCAGGCAGCCCTGTTTGCTGTCATCGTTTGTCCTTGTAGTAAGTCATTTGGGAGCCAGTTTTTCTATTGGCTGAGGCATGATGAAACACTGAAACCCAAGCTGAAAGTTGTTGGCTGCTTGCAGTTATAGTTCTATTTGATGGGTTACTATATTAGTTTGTTAGTCTTGTTTCTCTTAGATATATAGGGGGGCTATCCACCTTTTCCCGATGCTTCCTAAGGTAGCAGGTCCCAAGCCCTGGTAAAGGGGGAGGGTTGTGATAGGCGTGGCGAGCCAACGTTAAATCTAGCATTCTAATGGAGATGAAACCCGAAAGAAAACCGTTGGGGCGTAACCCTCTTAGCGACGCGCCATATCGGAACCCGGGTATGGTGTTAAATGGGCAAGGGCCGGGTCGGCACCCCCTTAGTGACGCGCCGTGTCGCGATCTGGGCATGGTGTCAAGTGAACAAGGATCGGGTCGTCGCTTCCTTAGTGGCGCGCAACATCGACGCTCGGGTATAGTGAAAAATAAGCAAGGGTCTTCACATCTGAGTCGACGGGTGCGAAGGGTAAGGAAGCTAGTCGAACCAACTAGGATCCGTTTAGGTAGTTGGAATGTAGGGCCGCTTACAGGTAAGTTAAGAGAATTAGTTGATACCGTGACTAGGAGGCGTGTAAATATATTATGCATTCAAGAGACTAAATGGAAGAGTCAGAAGGTGAAGGAGGTGGACAATACATGTTTCAAGCTTTGGTACACAGGGACAGTCGCGAATAGAAATGAAGTAGGAGTTTCGATTGATAAGAGCCTCAAGAATGGTGTGGTGGGAGTGAGAAGACAAGTAGATAGGATTATCTTAGTTAAGCTTGTCGTTGGTGATATGGTCTTGAACGTAATTAGTGCGTATGCCCCCCAAGTAGGCCTCGACGAGAGTGCTAAGAGACAGTTCTGGGAAGACTTAGATGGCCTGATTAGAGTTGTACCTAGCAGTGAGAAGCTTTTTATAGGAGATCTTAATGGGCATGTAGCTACTACAAGCACAGGTTTCGAGGCAGTTCATGGAGGTTTTGGGTATGGTAATAGGAATCTGGAGGGGAAGGAAGTTCTGGACTTCGCAGTAGCTTTTGACCTGATGATAGCCAACACTTTCTTTAGAAAGAGAGAATCTCATCTAATGACCTTCAGTAGCGGACAACACTCTAGCCAGATTGACTTTGTCCTCGCAAGAAGAAAGGACAAACGAGCATGCTTGGGTTGCAAGGTGATACCAGGGAAGTGTGTTGTTTCTCAACATAAGCTTTTATTGGCAGACTTTTGTTTCCAGGTGCGTACCCGTAGGGATAAACAAGCTAAGATTGAAAGAACAAAGTGGTGGAAACTGAAATGGGAGACGTCAGAGGTATTTAGGGAAAGGGTTATCAAAGAGGGCCCTAGGAAGAAAGAAGAGGACATAAACAACATGTGGGAGAAGATGGCAACCAACATTCGGAAGGTGGCCTCAGAGGTGTGTGGAGTAACCAAAGGAAGTGGAGGCGATGCTAAAGATACTTGGTGGTGGAACGAAGAAGTCCAAAGGGTTATTAAGGAGAAGAAAGAATGCTATAGACGCTTGTACCATGACAGCAGTGTGGACAACATAGAGAAGTACAAGGTGACAAAGAATACTGCAAAGTGAGCTGTAAGTGTGGCAAAGGGTAGAGCGTACGAGGATCTTTACCAACCTTTGAGTACGAAGGAAGGAGAGAAGGACATTTATAGGATGGCTAGGGTTCGTGAGAGAAAGACAAGGGACTTCAACCAAGTTAAGTGCATTAAGGATGAAAGGGAGCATCTCTTGGTGAAGGAGGATGAGATCCGACATCGATGGCAAGAGTATTTTGACAAATTGTTCAATGATGAAAATACAGACACAACCTTTCAGTTGGATGACTCTTTTGATAACACCAATAGACGCTTTGTGTGGAGAATCCAAGAATCTGAGATTAGAGAGGCGTTGAAAAGGATGAAAGGAGGTAAGGCGATGGGACCGGATGGTATCCCAATCGAGGCATGGAGATGCCTCGGGGACATAGCTATGGTATGGCTAACTAAGCTGTTCAACCATATTTTTCGATCAAACAAGATGCTTGACGAGTGGAGGAGAAGTATATTGGTACCGATCTATAAGAATAAATGGAATATTCAAAGTTGTACTAATTATCGGGGAATTAAGTTGATGAGCCATACTATGAAGCTATGGGAGAGAGTTATCGAGCATCGCCTGAGAGCAATAACGCGGGTCTCTATGAATCAATTTGGTTTCATGCCCGGAAGGTCAACCATGGAAGCTATTTTCTTAATAAGACAAGTTGTGGAGCGGTATAGGGAGAAGAAGAAGGACCTACACATGGTTTTTATTGACTTGGAGAAGGCTTATGATAAAATACCAAGGAATGTTATGTGGTGGGCTTTGGACAAACATAAAGTCCCAACAAAGTACGTCGAGCTCATTAAGGACATGTACAACAATGTTGTGACTAGTGTTCAAACAAGTGATGGAGACACGGATGACTTTCCGATTAGGATATGACTACATCAAGGATCAGCTTTGAGCCCTTATCTGTTTGCCTTAGTGATGGATGAGGTCACAAGGGACATACAAGGGGACATCCCTTGATGTATGTTTTTCGCGGACGATGTAGTGCTAGTTGATAAAAGTCGGACAGGAGTGAATCAGAAACTGGAGTTATGGCGGAAGACTTTTGAGTCCAAAGGTTTTAGACTCAGTAGAACTAAAACTGAGTATATGAGATGTGACTTCGGCACTACTACTCGAGAGGAGGAAGATATTAGTTTGGAAGGTCAAGTAGTGCCTAGGAAGAATATCTTTCGATATTTAGGATCAATGCTACAGAGAGACGGGGATATTGATGAAGATGTTAGCCATAGAATCAAAACAGGGTGGATGAAGTGGCGTCAAGCATCTGGTGTCCTATGTGACAAAAGGGTACTATAGAAGCTAAAAGGCAAGTTTTATAGGACGGCGATTAGACCTGCTATGTTGTATGGTGCAGAATGTTGGTCTACAAAAAGACGACATGTTCAACAGATAAGTGTCGCGGAAATGTGTATGTTGCGTTGGATTTGCGGTCATACAAGAAGGGATCGAGTTCGGAACGATGATATACGTGATAGATTAGGGGTAGCACCAATTGAAGAAAAGCTTGTTCAACACCGGTTGAGATGGTTTGGACATGTCCAACAGAGACCTCCAGAGGCACCGGTGCGTAGTGGAATCCTAAGCCAGGATAGTAACGTGAAGAGAGGCAGAGGAAGACCGAAGTTGACTTGGGTAGAGGCAATAAAAGGAGACTTGAAAGGATGGAATATACTCAAAGACTTAGCCTTAGATAGGAGTGCTTGGAAAATAGCTATTCACGTGCCTGAACCTTGATTGCTTCTGCTGTGTTTCAACTCTAGCCTACCCCAACTTGTTTGGGACTTAAATGCTTTGTTGTTGTTGTTGTTGTTGCTGCTGCTGCTAAGGTATCTACGGTCTTTTTGAATGGATATAAAATCTAAAATCTATCATGTCATATTTACTATTGTAATATCCACTTTTCACTAATTGATTGTTTCTATCTTAGACCTTGGAATGATATCCCATTTGTTTTGCTAAGCATAGCATGTGGCCATGCCTGTTAGTGATGATGAAGTAACTCATACAAACTTATACTAAATATACTTGAATAAATAATGAATAATTTATACCAATTTGTCTTTACTTCCTGTATTAGTTTTAAGAAGTTAAGAGTTTATGGCGACTTCAATTTAGTTGCTTATACTATTGTCTTAGCCTCTACCATGACACAACTTATGCCTATTAAAAACCTGAAACTATTAGCAAAATAGCATTGATAGTGATTTGATAATTCCTTTGTGTCAGGTGGCAAGTAGGTTGTTATATAGCTGTTTGAATAGGTTTTGAATTATAGGAAAAAGTAGATTCAGGAATCGTTGTTGAACAAGCCTGAGTTATAAGGTATTGATTCTTCTAATCTAATTTCTAAGTAGTTCTGAAGGTTTTGTCAGATATTTAGTAAGATGAGTAGAATACACATATTTTATTCTTCTATTAATACAATGATACGCAGCTCTCCTGCGTGTTCGAGAAAAAAAATACACATTTGAAAAGTGAGGCTTATCCCTACAGCGAGCCCCATTTAGCAGAGTGGTGGTGGTAGCAAACTGTTAAAAACTGAAACATTTCAAAACCTCCAATAATGAAAGTTTTTGCCCACTATTTTAGTTAATTTTTATTTGAAAAATTCTTTATTGCATTGGATATTTGTGATGTTCTTGTTTACCCTTTTGTTTAGACAATAACAACTTATATGGAAATCAGGAGAGTCATGTAACAATTTATATGTTTTTTTGGACAATTCTATTAGTGAATCATTCCAAGAGCCAACTCAAGTAGTTTTACTATGTTGAGCCGAAGAAGAGATTTGGATGCCTCTAACTACAATTTGTAAAAGCATAGCATCTTTCCATATCTGGTAATACTTATTAAATAGCTTTATTTCTGCTTTGCAGCTGTTCCTTGGACTGAAGAGGAGCATAGAACATTTCTTGCTGGTCTTGAAAAGCTAGGGAAGGGAGACTGGAGGGGTATAGCGAAAAATTTCGTTACCACCAGAACACCAACTCAAGTTGCAAGTCATGCTCAGAAATATTTTCTTAGACAAACTAATCCAAACAAGAAGAAGCGCAGATCTAGTCTTTTTGACATGATGCCAAGAGAGCTGGTACTTTCTGTCAACCTTTGCAGAATTGCACTGACATCACAAAAATTGTTTCTAATCAATGCTTAACAAACTTGTGAATTGCAGTCACCAACACCAAATTGCCCCATATTACCACCATCGATGGCAAAAGTACATGACGTGGTAGCTATGACGAAACAGCTCCAGAATAGCAACTTGGTATGCTCATGATCCTTATATTTAATTCCGATGCCATACTTTCAGTACTGAATTGGAATTGCCAATCCCACTTTCAGGAAGGAGCCTCATCTTCCAATGCAGCTAATGTAGCATCTCAAGTTGGAAGAGATCTCCCCCCAGTTCCATCTTTTAAGGCAACAAATATAGATTCAAGTTTCAGCAAATTTAGCCACATGGTAATGCTACTATATTATCTCTTCTGTCATACATATTATTATGTGTTCCACTCCCAACAGAGTTGCTAAAAGATGGCTAGGAGAGATTATATGGTTTTCCCTTTATATATACATACCTGATATCTTATACTCCCTCCAGTCACAAAAGAGTACTGTTTTATATGTCGATGTGATCACTGATAGAGTACTTTCACCACTAATTAGTAGTATTAAACATATTTAAATATAGCAAGGTTCTAATGAAAACTTCTTCTCAAGGAAAATCTAGCTATACCGTTTTTAAAAATTAAATTGAATTATTACTAAATATATTGATGGTCAAAGTTGAAACATGTTGACTGCATGCAACGAAAACAACCATCTTTTGTGACTAGAGAGATTAGTGTCTTCATGCTCGTGATGAGTTTGGATATTTATGGTCTTTTGGAGTCCAAAACTTCTATAGTGTTGGTCCGCTTGTATGATTAACTGCTTTTTACCCACGCCCACGATGAGGGTTTTTAACTTACACGACATCAGCATAATTGCCTTACTATAGTGCCACAGATCACCATTGTCACTAACTAGATGAGCCTTAGGTATGGAGGACACTAGTACACTAGTGCTCCCTCAATAAGTAAAATGGAAAACCAAAAGCCTATTCATATTTACCTAGAGGACATATTATCAGGAAAGTGAAGTTCCATTCAGTGGTTTGCTAGGTTTGCCCAGTCTCTCCCCATTTAATGATCATCTGAATCATCACTAAAAAATGAATTGGAAATGTAGGTACAAAATCATCAATCATAGTACAAAGTTGAAGTTTTGAAATAGACAAGAAGGTAAGGTAGCTGCAAAAATTATTTAGTAAATAGAATAAAAGAAAACCTGTTCCTCTTGGTGAACTTTGTTTTCTCTGTTTCTCATGTGTGAAGACATGCACTGTCATTGGACACTAGGCCACCCTAATCCTTACCTCTAATTTTGTAGAACCTATTGTGATGATTTGGATGGTCGGCTGTTGGAGACAGTGTTGAAGCTTTGAATAGGTGGGCTGCGCTATGTATAGGTGTTGTGTTACACACCCGCTACAGTTTAGTGTAACCTATTATATTAGCCTCAACTATAAACCCAACAAGTAGCAGCTAAATAACCCCCTTCTACCACATTAAAAAGGTAAGTTATAAAAGTACATTCCATAATGTTTCTGATGGAGCAATACACTATATTCAGGACCGAGGGAGTATATGACATACAAAATATGGAAGTTGTTGACCTTCTAAACTAAAGTTATTTGGCAAGTTAACCGCTACAGGGGGTCTATGTGGTATCAGAAAGTTCTCTTATTAAGACAATGTGGGAAGATTTCTTCTTTACTGTCTCGTTGTGTTTAAATGTTGCTCATCTTATGAGCTAGATTTAAAATTTAATATTCATTTCATTGATTATTGTTTAACTAATGCTGTTGTCCTTTGTCAGGAACGCTACTGGAGAACTCCCAACCCATTCAGACCAATTCCTAGAGCCCCTGAAGGGACGTCTTCATCAACTCCTGTTGCTGCCAATATAGCTGTTCCAGCCTCTCAAGCTAACCTGACTGCATGTACTAGCACATTCTTGAGCCAGCGAGGTGATACTTCATCATTGCCTCCGAAGGGAGATCCTCCATCAGAGGAGGATGATTTGGAACTGACTGTTGCCCCACCCTCCCAACAACAAAATATGACCAATATGTCTTCCCAGAATGCGGTAGGCGTGATTCAAGTCATCTAAGCTATTTTTTTTTTCTTTCTAGAAGTTACCGTGGTTATTGACAGTTGACCGAATAAATCTTAACATTCTATTAGCAATACATCAATAAGAGCGCAAGTTATAAGACGACCATTGTCTGTAATTTGGCATGCTCCTGTCATCTTGCGCCTAGCTACTGCCTCTCTTTAGCTACTAAAGATGTTAAGCGTGTGTTAATGTGGGTTCATCCCCTTTTTAGTTTTTACTTATGTTACTTCTATATGTTTTAGGAATTGGCGCAAGCTTAGCTGATCATTTTCACTGCATTTGTATGCCGGTTGGAATTGAGTGCAGTGCCTGTGCATGCATGCATGAATGCATGGTTCTCTACATTAGGTCCAGACAGAAGGCATCTCACATTATGATATCAAATATTATCAATGTGAAAAGTGAGGAAACAGAATGTTGTCTGGCACTAGCAGCATTATTGTTGGCTTTCCACCAGACCCTGGTACGGTGCTTGGTATTTGGCAGTTGGTACTGTGGTAGTACAAGAGTAGCTTGGTGTATTTCTGGTGTAACTGAAAGTGTACCTGAATGTATGTCTCCATGAAGTTTTTGGAGATGATGGTACTTAGCGCAGATTGCAGAATAGAGAACTCTACTATGAAATTCTTGAGGAAATTAAATGCAAGTCTGAGCATCATCACCGGGTGAAAGAAAACACCCTGAATCTTGGATGGATGTCAGTCGTTCAGCATAGAAAGTTGGGAACTGAGAGTCTGTTGGGTCTGCGATGTTCAGAATAGAAAGTTGGGAACTGAGTCTCCCTCCCAGCATTAATTCTCGGTTTGGAACATGAGAAATTGGGAATTGATGTTCAGTTACTTCCTCCACTCAAAATAAATAAATAAATAAATTGCCATTCTCATTTCTCGAAAAAGTATTTGAGGGATTTAATTTGCCATACGATATTTGGAGCTCACTGCATGCTTTTCAAAATGTCAAGGAGGCAAGGATATGATATTGGCTTGTGTAGTCCCTTGCATCGGTCGCATCTTCCCCTTTTCCACAACTGACTGCCCATCCAATGCAAATTGAAACGCGCACACAAAAGCGAATAAATTCAAAAGAAGGAAATTAAAAAGCGTCACCCACACTCACACACACACACCCTAAGGGGAAGAATATTTTGGAGAACGAAATTGGAAGGATCGGAGAAGAAGAGACAACCAGGGAGTAGTAGAGAATAACAGTGAATTGTCGGCTAGCATACATCATACATGCCAATGCATGTCTCCACTACTGCTACTCTACTAGCTAGTGCATTTCAAAGCCTAACAAACTCTGATGTTGGAAGGGTCGAAAGTGAAGGAAATGGATGGATGGATCGGCCGCTCGATGGTCGTTGTATACATGCCAAGTGATGGCATGCTTGTCCACTATTATTCTGTGCCAAGCCTAGCTGCATCCTTACGAAAACCAGCAGAGACCACAGCTGAGACAGAATCATGACACAATGCGGCTATATAGAATAAAAAGGTCACAGGCTAAGTCTCATCATCTGGCAGCCTCTCTGCACTGCACTGCAAATTATATATTAATTATTCATTCATGCTAAACTGGACTGATTAAGGAAGAATGAGAGCGGGCACACTTTATCCATGGAAGCAACAACTGATGAGGAGTATTTATATATATGTATGTGTATGTCTATGTGAAGGAAACTAATAATAGTATTTATATTATATGAATATATATAAAACGAACGAGAGAGAAAGGGTGCTGCTTTAATAATATATCCGATCCGTCGGTCCACAGTGACATGCGATGGATCGTATCGATCAGCTGCATGTGACGCTCCAGCTAATTCCTTGCTTTGCAGAAGTCCAACTCCACCTAATGACCCACGCAGCTGATGCAAAAGTTCTGGTTTCACCGACGAAATCTACTTATATTTATTCACTCATTGATCGTTAAACATTATATTGTTCATTATATATATATTTTTTCTTCAGTATTTTGGTTTTTTTAGATATATTATATTTCATATACACTTAGATATATAATATGTCTAGTAGAAAAATCAAAACGTCTTATAGTTTGGAACAGATGGAGTAAATAGCGATCCATGTTCAGTAAACAGCGATCCATGCAGGGAACAAACTTGTTGGGCAGGTAAATAATGATTTAGAAGGTACTTATATCACAGAAATTAACTGCAACATTTTACATGACCATTACTCCCTCTGTTCTAAATTATAAGTCGCTTTGATTTTTTTTGGTACATAGAATTTGTTATGTATTTAGACATAAGAGTACTTTTTTAATTTTATGTATTGGAATATATAGTTATTATATCCCGGGCTCATTTAATTTCAAGCTATCATGCACTTGTCATTAACTAATAAATTAAGCTCGTTAGTGGGAAGTTTCGGTACCATATATGTATAGATATATATATACACATACATGCATGATGTATCACATCTTCATACTATAAGCTATATATGGAAAGGTGATGAAACCGCTCTTAATGAATTACTTAATCTCTGCAGTACACCACCACTGTTGGAATCTTAATGAATTAATTAGTTGATAAGATAAGCTATATGAAGGGCTTTTTTTCTAATTAGAGAAACGGACAAAATAAAAATGATGATAGATTGTTTTCAGGTTAACTAAAAACTAAGACCATACGTACGGACGCCTATATATGCATGTAAACTAATATATATCCGGAAGAATGCGACATTGAACGACGATGCTTTTGCATATGTATAATAAGCTAGCAGCACCAGTGCATGGGTTCCTTTCATGTCGTTATCTGTCTTGGACGAACATAGCTGTCAACATGGGCCTATTATGCCTGGCTATCTTGTTTCACAATGAAGCTGCCGTCGATTATTCATATTCAAACTTCTTGTTGCTCTCATTGTCTATAGTATCTGCTAGGATTTGCACTGATGATGTGATCGGAGCTAGCAGCAAGCTACTAGAAATATATTGTACTATTAAACCTAGCTCATTGTGCCCTGCTGGCAAACGTTACACCTAACAATATTCATTGGAGAATGAAAGAATAATGTGTGTGTGCCCAAATTACTTCCTCAAAATAAAGAAATGTGTGATGAAATCAAAAAGAATTATTCTTCATTGGACAAGAGATTAAACAAGGTGTGTGTGTGTGTGTGTGTGTTGGCGATGTGACATGCATCAGGGAACATTCTTGGGTGGTGGGTGATGCAACAAGGCTGGCCACTTGATCTCCACCATGGATTGACAAATTAATTTCATGCTTGGGTTCTAAGGAACCAATTCAAATGCATGCATGCATAGCATAGATGCATGTTGTACTTGTACCACGGTACCAGCTCATGCATGTGTAACAGTAACAGTTGGAGGCTCGGTTTTGGGGGCATCATTGGGTCAAAATGTTGTGCATTAATTGATTAATAATATCGGTGCAGTACTCTTGATTAATATTTAAGCAAGAGTTATCGGTCCTAAGCAAGCCGGATACCACCACTATATGTGTTGCCATTTTGCTAAGCCATCTCGTTTAGCGTTAGTCAAAGTGTACATATATAGTATCTTCTCTAAGCAAGGTTCCAAACTTCCAATAATGCACCAACAAGGGTGTACGTATATGGTGTGATAGATGTTAATTAGTTATGTGTTCGTACGTGCACAATAATGGTTACACCGACAGTGTTCTTAGGAGGCGAATCATCACACATATATTACTGTTGCGGTGGGCTTGTCACCACCACTGACAAAATAATTTGCCAAAAAAAATAAGAGCACACATACCGAGTCTAACATAGATGGACAAGTTCCATCATATCAATAAGAACTTATGTTGAGTTCATGTGAGTGTTAGTACTTGCATCTTTATATATATTCTTCACAAAATTACAAGGGAGACCGTTATATATTGATATAATGCTCGGACGAATGGGTCACAAGACCGAGAACTACGAGAATCAAATTTCCACATGGTCTAAGTTTATTTTCGACCCCCACCTCTATGTATGTGAGATAGAGAAAAACAGCACATGTGCCTCTTCTCAACTCTTACATGGCCCAAGTCGCCCTCATCTACCGTCGGATCCAAGGCGAGCCAGCCACCACGCACAGGCAGGCCGCACCGAAAAGTTGTTGCACTGGTGGGCGCTAGTAGGGCTGGACACTTTTTCACCGAGAACAAAAAACCGAACCGAACTTAACCGACATGTTGGTTTTTTCAGTTTTTGATTTCGGCTTCGGTTCTTGTTTCCTGGAACTATGATTTCCGGCTTCAAATTCAGTTTTTGAAATAAAAGCAACCGAGAAACCGCGGAACCAAACTTAGCCTGGAGCTCCAAGCCGCCAACTGCTCCCCGTGTACACCCCGCGTCCACACTATGACCACATCTACCCAGGCCCAACACGCCTCCACCCCCAATCCCCCATCACCACCCTCACCCCATTCCCAACTCCTGCACTTGGGTGCCTGTGTGTTCCCAAAACCTAACCCTAGCGAGCAGAGGTCACGGCCTTGCGGGCTCACGATGGTGGCCGAGGTCGCAGGCTCATGGCTGTGGCGGCGTCATGAGCGGAGGTCTTGCAGCTGGGAGGAAGTTGCGGCGTCGCGAGCGGTCGCAAGCGGGGGCATAGCGGTGGCGACATAAGTAGGGCGCTTGAGCCTCATGGCGATGGTAGCGTAGCGACTGCAAGCGCCACAAGTCAGGGAGCTTCTTGACTTCTCATGCAACACAAGCACACTAGAGGCCGTCGGTTTCTTTTAAACTGAAAATCTGAAGTAAAAAAACCAACACTAAACTTATCAATTCTCTACCTATAATCAACCGATCGGTTCCTAATTCTTAGAAACCGAAGTTTTTCAAAACCGAATAAACCAAACCAAACTTTCGGTTTAAATCGATGGCCCACTCCTAGGCGCCAGGGCCAACAAAGAAGCCGCCTGCCGCCGGTCAGAGCAGCCATCACACTTCACACACACTTGGACCGCAGGCCGCGCTAAGAAGCATGCTGCCAGTCGGAGTAGCCATCACACGCGCATGGACACCGGGTGCTGATGCCAGTCGGAGCATCCTATAGTCCGTAATTATGTTTTCTGAATCCCTTTAATCAAACATAGGCCGGGGATTGTGTTTTCTCAATCTGGTGAAGATGCTCTTTCATGCATGTGTATTTTTCTCACTTGTAAGTGTGAACATGCTAATTTTAATATGGACAATACATACGTGTGACACCATTGATCGATGTTTACATCTTGCTGGATTTTCAATATAAATATAATGGGACATCAATCCATTTTGGTCTTACATGAAGAAAACAATGCCTAAAAAAATAAGATAAACAAAAATAATTAGACAAGAAAAAATATAGTTGATTCTTTTAGAAAATGGAAAATATAGCTTCGGCCTTGCATGATGCATACATCATTG